CGTAACCATGTGTTCGTTCAATATAAGACAACGCTGGTGGTACGAATGCAGAACAAACATGAATTTGAAATAAATCATCAGGATATATAAGATCAATATTGGATGCATTGTTATTTAAATTACTTTGTGCAGTTACACTAGCTTCAAGCGCCGTTTGAGCAAAAACAAAAAGACCTTGTATGTGACATGTATATCGACCATCATCAATTGTATTAACATGAGGATCACCAACACCAGGGACTATAATAATAAAACACTTATTATTTATATTCCAAATTTTTTTTTAAACAAATATCCAATGGAGAACTAAAATGGAACATTACCTATAGCTGGAGGTCGATATCCTGTACAACTGCTGGGTGGATGAAGTTGAAAATAGAAATGACATGTTCCCCAATCTGGACGTCCAGTTATATACGAAGGTGAACAACATTGATCACTAGAATCATCTAATAAATACAATCAATACAAAAAGAAATAAATTTACTAAAATAGGATTCGTCTTTGCCAAGGACATGGTAGAAAAAGAATGTATGGATTTGATAAAACTGATCCGACCAGACTACCAAAAGTAATTAATCCTTGGCTGGACCAATAATGACAAGATGTCTAAAATTAGAAATATTTTTTTATTCATTTAGTATACTATAATTGATCCATTGTCGTACTTGTGACCTGAGTAATTGAAATGTTCAACCTATATTTATCCAACTTGTAGTCCTGGGTGCATAACAAACAATATTTTGAGATAATTCATATTGAGTTTCGCTGAACAAACGACCAAAACGAGTATCGATTTGTGCTTGGCGAAGTGTACATGGACATGGAAATCGAGGATTTATTCTAAATACAACGAAAATAAAGTACAAATAAAACAGAATATTAATACATACCTTATATCATTTAGATTCTCCCAAAGATACAATATATTTATTCTTGTTTCTTGTAAAAAGCTCACTTCAGATTGGTTTAAGAAACGACCACTAACATAAAAGTATGTCTTACTACGTTGTGCTAAAAGAATATTATAAAGTTAGACGTAAAAATATTTTTTTAAGCAATTAAGTGAAATACTTAGAAACAAAGCATTTTGATAATAAGACTGATCATTTAAAATTTGCATTAGAAAATTTTTTCCACGATATCCTAAATAGTAAGAAAAGAGATGATTGATATTTGTATAAAATTACACAAAAATGAATGAATAACATACCAACAAAAGGTCTAAAATAGCCAAGGTCACTCGAAAGATTGGTATAATCGAATACAATATAAGATCGAAGAATTGGATAACTATAGTGTGAAGAATCATATTCATATATATTAATCAAATATGCTGAGAATGATACATTCTTTAAAATAAAACGAATAAAAAAATATTGAATACGTAAAAAATATTAAGACTAATACTTATTATTGATTTATTAACATAAGAAAATTCAAACAAAAGATTTTCCCAAGTGGTTCGAGCAACTCTTGCTGCTGCAAAATTCGCTGAACAAAATTATGTTGGACAAGCGAATTTGATGACTAATTGAATCACAGTATTGTAAATACTTTCATCACTACCAGTAGCATTCGTCGAACTGAATCAGTTAATTATGATATTGGAATAATTCTAAACGATTGTTCTTATATCATTTGAGAGAGAACAACAGAAACATTGATAAGATAAATTACTCACAGAAATATAACTCATGTTTGCCCAGAATGGAGATGCAATAGCTTGGTTATTGATTTGTTGAAAGGCAACAGTTGTCATTGTTCGGGCATAATAAGGTGTATCGAATGTAATG